GGGGCAGGGGCAGTGAGGGAAGGGGGAGGCACCAGGAGGGTGCAGGGGGAAGGAAGGGTGCAAGTGCCTGGGGATTCTGGGGGTGAAGCGGAAGGGCAGGCACCTGCAGGGGATGCCAGAGAAGAGAGGCAGGGCGGGGGGGTGGGGGGACATGGGCTCACATGATCAGAGTGGGGCTACTGGAGGAATGGGCACAGGGGGGAGAGAAGGGCTGGCGGAGGGGGGCAGGTCTCAGGAGGGCTGAGGGCAGTGAGAAGGGCAGGAGTCGGGACAGCAGAGGAGAGTGAGGAGTTGGGGGGCAGCAGGCACCAGGGGAGCTGATGGAGCAAGGGGAAGAGACATGGCAGTAGAGGGAAAAGGTAGAGGTTTATAAGATATTTATTAATAACTTGGGTGATATTTATTAAGAACGTATTAGTAATTACTGTTCTTATTCTTATTAGGAATTTATGCCATTAAAAAAACACTTTTTGGGGGGGAGGGTGGCGAGTCCCTTTTTTTGTCTGGCAGGTAGGGTTTTCCATAATTTGTCGAGCCTTGCTCATGGTTAAAACAGTTGACTCTTGCTTTGGGGCTTTGAAATAGCTTTCCTGTCTGATGCTGGGCAAGTCACTTAAACTAAACTTTTCACTTACTGTGTGCTCTTCATTTCCTGCGTGCCTGACTTGAGATCTTGGTTATGATTTGCAAAAGCAGTAAGCACTCAGCTGCAACTGAAGTCAACGGAAGCTGTGTTTGTCTGTATAAAGTGCATTCTGAAAAAACAGGTAACTCAAATTAGACACCAAAAATTAGTATATTCTTTTTACTTTAAATGGGTAACGCCCCTCTCACATTATAAGGTTCTGTGATTTTTGTTGTATATTTGTAAGGTACTTGGATATTGCAGTGATAAGCACTATAAAAAAAATTCATGTGGAAAGTTAATTTTGTGTCTACTATAGGGCTTGAATAGTGAGCAGTAAATAAGACTTAGCAATGAAGTTGAAAAAAAGTTGGATAACTGATCATTAAGTGAGTATTGTCCATCCTACATACTAAATGAGGCAGTGGTCCTGTGGAAAAAAAATAGTATGCAGTCATGACATTTAAAAGCTGTATCAATGCACATACACAACTGTCAGCCGACGGTCAGGGCAGTGAGTGGTGTGTGTGTGTGTGTTATACACCCGAAACTTCAACTGCTGAGACCAGGGTCCCTTCGCAGCGGGCAACCTGGAGGAGGTTGACGGGCGCCCCAACAAGTTTACAGGGAGAGCTTATTACACCTCAGATTTTAGCTGCTAGGATACACAATCCCTTCGCAGCGGGCAGCCTGGGGAGGCTGAGAGATGCCCCAACGGATCTGTCCCCTGGAAGCGACACGGTCCAACGCTCAAGTTCTCCCTATATCTGAAGTTCTTTTAAATTGTGCTTGGTTCTGTTACAGCAACTGAAGGAGTCAGGTTAAAGCTTAAACAGTTACTATTTTATTGTTACAGGGTAAACTTAGCTGTTAAATGCTACTACTGTGTTACAGATAACACAGACACTACAAAGGACAGGACAGAAATTACACTAATAAGTCACTTACAGGTACCATGAAACCCTTTGGTTCTCTGAGCTCTTATTAAATGCATGCAAAATAGACACATAGCAGGTATATATTCTCACCCCTGCGTTCCAGACTTGGCGTGGCCAGCGTCTTTCTCTCAATCCCTCGGGAAGAAGTAGGGCGAGGTGGGGCGTCCCACAGACCTCGGGAGACAATCAATACCTGCCAGCAGGTATAGATGATTGGAGCTCAAATGGGGTGGGCGGCTGAACCTCTTTTTATACCCCTTGGGTCATGTAGGCTTCTTCCTGGGCTCAAGTGGCCAATTAGGAAAAATGGCTTTGAATGCCAAGTTTCCCACGAAGGGTGCAAAGCATAATTTACACCTGGGAAAATGCAGACAATGGGCACCTCTGGTATGTGATGGGCGAAGATTCCTCTCCTGGGACAGTGCAGGCGTGTCAATTACTGGTACTAGCCATCAGGGCGACGGGAGGCCCCGGGTCGTCAGCTAGCCCATTTACTGTCTGGTTTCTGTTTATGGTAGAGTCAGGGACAGGCAGCAAACCTGTGTTCCCAGGGCATCAAAGGCTGACTGCCTTTCTCTTGCTCTCTGGGGGGGGAGGGGAACAAGATGGGGTTCATGTCTGGCTACA